TCTTGGTTTGTTGTTGTTTTCTGAGATAGGATCTTACAGTGCAGCTCAAGCTAGCCTGGGGCACAATGTGACACTGTTGTCTCTCACACACACACACCCGTGCTCACCCCGAGTGCTGCTGTTACAGGTGTGAGGCCCCACACCCAACTGCCTCTTACATTTTTTTAAATTTTATTGTATGTGCATGGGTGAGTGTGTCAGATCCTCAAGAACTGGAGTTAGAGACAGTTGTGAGCTGCCATATGGGTGCTGGGAATTGAACCTGGGTCCTCTGAAAGAGCAGCCAGTGCTCTTAACCACTGAGACATCTCTCCAGTGTCCCCCCCCCCATTCTTTTTTTTATTTATATGGCGTGGTGGTGGCGCATGCCTCTAATCCCAGCACTCAGGAGGCAGAGGCACGTGGACCTCTGTGAGTTGAAGGCCAGCCTGGTCTACAGAGTAAGTTCCAGAACAGCCAGGGATACACAGAGAAATCCTGTCTTGAAAAACAAACAACAAAAAAGATTTATTTAATTTTGTTTTTATATATTTAAGTCTGTGCATTTGCCATGTATGTTTGTGCCATGTGCATGCATTGCCCATGGAGGTCAGAAGTAGAGGCCTGGAACTGGGTTCTAGATGAGTGTGCACCCCTGTGTGGGCGCTAGGAACTAAACCACCCCTCGCAAGAGCAGCATCTCTCCAGCCCGGCTCTTTCATTCTTTATCCCACACTTGGTTCCATCCCCTGAACTTGACCTGGCAGCTGAGGCCTTTTCAGCTCCCGCTTCACCCGGTGCAGCTGAGCTCCTCCTTGCTTCCTTCCCAGGCCCTGGCCTCTGGGCCTCTGAGTGACATTTTCTCCACCAAGCAGAAACGTCTGCAGAGCTGTCTCCAAGGCTTCTCTGTGAAGTCGTTTGCTTTCTCCTTCTCAGCACTGCCGTCACCCTGGGGTGGGACCGCTTCTAGCCTGGCCCCTGCAGCTGGGCACTGTCGGTCTCCTGGTGTCCTTATCCCTCCCCAGAGGCTATGTGCTTCTTGGCATCTTACTGACCCCAGAGCATGTGAGCTAACCACACTGGTGTGCCATGGCCCCTTTAGCCCCCTCCGCCCGCTGCAGTGTAAATGGAGCTGGCTCTACATTTCTCTGCACTGTCACTAAGGTTTGGTCCCCAGAGCCCGTTGACTTACTTCATCTTAGTTATGCGCCACTGCCAGCTGTCAATCTTGTGCTCACTGCTGCTGTGACAGCCACGTTCTGCTGCATTCTAAGCCATGCAACTCCTGGGCCCAACACGTTGCCTTTGCCTTTCAGAGAGCCCCCTACCCACCCCCCTGTCTGTTTTTTTTTTTAATTAATTTATTTATTTATTATATTATGTGTATAGCATTCCTTCCATGTGTGCCTGCAAGCCAGAAGGGGGCGCCAGGTTTCATTATAGATGGCTGTAAGCCACCATGTGGTTGCTGGGAATTGAACTCAGGACCTCTGGAAGAGCAAACAGTGCTCTTAACCTCTGAGCCATCTCTCCAGCCCCGCCCCCAATCTGTTTTTTAAGACAGGATTTCCCTGTAGCCCTGGCTGTCCGGCAACTAAGTAGACCCAGCTGGCCTCAAACTCACAGAGCTCTGCCTGCCTCTGCCTCCCAAGTGCTGAGATTAAAGGAGTGAGCCACCACTGTTTGACCAGAACCTCTCTTTTAAAGCACCCCATCCGCCTTTCCTCTGGAACATATAGGAATGCGTTTTGAATCTAGTAGAATGACTTTCTAGAAGTGTTACAAAGCCATTTCCCAGCAGAGTCTGGTTGGTAAGGACAGCTGAGATAACAGGGACTCTCAGCCTGTATGATTTCTTGCTGTCCTTCCCGGCAGTGCTCCAGGCCGTGTGGAGAATCAACAGAGCCATCCAGAGGGAAGTGGCCTCTGACACCGTGAAGGAGCTTATGTGCCCTGAAGCCCAGCTGCCCCAAGTGTACCCCTTTGCCTCTGCTGTGTACCAGCAGGAGCTGGCTGTGCTCCAGAAGCAGCAACAGGGGGTAAGTCCTGGGGGTCCCAAGCAGCTAGGAGAATGGCCAGAAATTAGGATGGGCAGGGTTGCTTCCCAGGAGCATCATGGCAGCCAGTGGCGGTGCACATGCTCAGCACGGACTGCAGTCCTGCCAGGTAGGTGCTGGTTCTCTTTAGAGGTAAAGAGAGGGTCGCAGACGTAGAACACCTGTCTGTCCAGCTGACTGGCAGGACATGCTGTAACCGTGAGGCTGCCCTACCTCACTCCTGTCCTTACAGCCCTTCTGATAACAAGGCCTGAGCCTCACATAGAGTCACCATGTCAACTGCGGGAGTTAGAAGTTACATGTTGAGTGTGGGCTCTGTAGTCAGGCAGCTTCATTTAACCCATATTGCTAGCTATGGGCTTGGCTGGGAAATGCGGTTATTAATGGTACCTACCTCATTTGGCTTGTTATGGAATAAGATGACACCATGTATGGTCTTCATGATGATTGTGTTCACAGCAAACATCCCCAGACATAAAGTGTGAATGTTGGTGAATGAATGTATCCCAGGTGTTGAGCATGAGCAGGGTCAGTGGGTGAATGTGGCCCAGTTGTGGCCCAGATGTTGAGCATGAATGGATCTTGGGGATGGAGATGGATGTTGGAGAGCTCCTCTCAACTCTCTCCTCTATAGGAGCTGGGCCAGGAGGAGCTCTTTGTGGCTGTGGAGATGCTCTCAGCTGTGGTTCTCATTAACCGTGCTCTGGAAACGAGAGATACCTGTGCCTTCTGGTCCAGTCTGGTGAACCCTGCTACTGGCCTGGCCCAGGTAGAAGAAGAAAATGCTCAGCGGTGAGTGGGGAGGCTCTAGCCACAGGCCAGAAGTGAGGGGCGGCATGGGTGTGGCTGACTGGACGGTAGCCTGTCTGATTCCCATTCTTGGCCCCTCCTGTGTTTCTTCCCAGTGGGGAGCGAGCACATGGTCATCCCGCTTCCTTTCTATTTCTTTGGAGCAAATGCTTGGGAAAATGCACTGCCAGATGCCTGCCATTCTAGGTGTTGAAAACAGTGACTAAAGCAGATCCCTGCTCTCGGCAAGCATGCACACAAGCAGGAGTCATGACTGGATGGGCACAGAGCTATGGGGCCAAGCCAAAGGAGACGGGGGGGGGGGGGCAGCTTTCTTAGTCTCGTGACGAGGAGGGGCATGCGGAGAAGGACCTAAGGAGCCTGAGTTCTTCCCATGCCGCTCTTCAGGACAGGAGAGTGTCCTAGGTGCACTCACAGGACGTCAGGACAAGCTTGGAAAGAGCTCAGGGGTAGAACACTTGCATGTCTGAGGCTCTGGGGTTAACATCCCAGTGTTCAAGAAAAACCTAAAAACAAAGACTACCAGGAAACCAGAGTGACCAGATGGAATGGGCTAACAGAGCAGCCCATGTCCTCAAGCGTGGAAGGAAGCTCTGGGGTGTTCAACAAGGAAGGAATCCTTCTGACCTGCTTTACCAAGATCCTTCTGGCTGTGCTGAGACTCTGGCACCGGGCCTGGGCCAGGGCAGGGCGGCAGGGCTGGGAAGAAGGTGCCAGCATGCAAATGTATTTTGAAAGCAGAATTGACAGGACTTGGTGGCAGAGGGAACGCGTGGGAGATGACCCAACAGATGTTTATCCAGAAGGGGCTGGCTGAGGCACAAAGACAGACCGAGGGAACGTGGAGTTCAGATAAGTCATGAAAGGCTTGAGTGTCTGAGGTCTGGGGTGAGAGTCCGGAGGGAAGAGGGCTGAAGCTTGAGCTCCGAGCGCCACACAGGGGGCTTGGAACGGTCTGTAAGGGGAGAAGAGGTGGCCTGGGAAAGACCAGCCGCGGCTGTGTGCGCACACCGCTCGCACCGGCACCGCCGCTCACGCTGCTGCTCCTCCTCTCTGCTGCTAGTTACTTTGATGCCCTGGTGAAGGTGCGAAAGCTAAGAGGGACGGACAGAGGCTTCCTGAGTTGGAATGACCTGCAGGCCACTGTGTGCGAGGTCAATGCGCAGGTTCAGGAAGAGACGGATCGTGAGTGCCCCTCAGACAGCCTTTCCCGTGGTCTTGAGTTTGGGGCTGCCGCTCATCCTCAGATGTCTTCCTCAGAGGTCCTCGCCATCAGCCTCATCAATGAGGCTCTGGATCAGGGCTACCCTGAGAAGACACTGTCTGCTCTGCTGCTTCCAGCGGCTGGCTTGGAAGATGTAAGCCTTCACGTTGCACTTCGGTATCATCTCCTCCTCGTGGCAGCCAAGAAGAAGAAAGCCAAGGTAAGGCTAGGAAAAGATGGCTGGGTTAGACACTAGAGCGAGAGGCTCAGTCTTGGCCAGGGCGGTGCCCAGCCTGGTGGATACAGACTCTGAACAGGTGAGGCACAGGCAGGATTTGATTGTCATGACAAGGTGTGGGAAAAGGTGCCTGGACTCCCCACTCTGATCCCCAGTGACCACCTGAGTATCCCTGGGGTGTGTGTACTACATCCTCTGCCCTTGCACCTCGTGGTGCAGGAGTGGAGCAGGGATTTGAACTGACACGCTGAGGTTTGTGGCAGCAGAATGAGGCTGAGACCTGGCCCGAGCCGGATGAGCTTGCGTCCTGCAGCTCCCGTGCAGCGTCACCCAGCCTCCCTGCACTGCCGTGGCCCTGCAAACCTGTGACAACATCAAGCTTATCCCACAGTTGCTGAGCTTGAGTGAGTACCACGGCAGGACTAGCCAGCATTCATTGAGTTATCACTGTGTGCCAGGTATTGCTTGGTCTGCCTCACAAGTTCTGATCCATGAAGCCTGGACAGAGTCTGAGTTCAGTTCCCAACACCCACATCAAGGGGCTCACAACCCCAGATAAAGGGATCCAGTACCTTCTTCAGGGCACTTGCATTCATTCACATGTACACACCTCCACACAGATACATACGAAGACACCTAACTAATCGCAGCTCTTGGGAGGCAGAGGCAGGCGGATCTCTGTGAGTTCGAGGCCAGCCTGGTCTACAAGAGCTAATTCCAAGACAGGCTCCAAAGCTACAGAGAAACCCTGCCTTAAAAAAGAAAAGAAGGGCTGGAGAGGTAGCTCAGTGGTTAAGAGTGCTGGCTGCTCTTCCAGAGAACCCTGAGGTCCTGAGTTCAATTCCCAGCAACCATATGGGGGCTCACAACCATCCGTAATGAGATCTGGTGCCCTCTTCTGGCCTACAGGCAGATATGCAAGCAGAATATATACATAATAAATAAATAAAACCGAAAGAAAAAGAAAAAAACTAATTCATAAGATAAGTCTTAGGAACAATACCGGATAGCTCACACCTGCAGTAAGTCTGAGGTTGGCTTGGCCTACAGAGCCTTTTAGAAAAGAAAAAAAAGACAGGCAGGCAGGTGGGCACCCGACACATAGTGCTCAATAAAAAACTCTGTAAGAGTCCATTTCTGATAAGGAGAAGAGAGCAGTGAGCTGGCCATGGCAAGCCCAGGCTTCCTTGCCCGGTGTGCAGTCTTCCTGCCACCTTTTGGTGACTGCAAATGTGCAGCCAGGAGACACAGCCAGCACCAGAATCGGGCTAAGGGCAGTGAACTGAGGTCGAGGGGGATGGGAAGGGCTGCAGGGTAAGTGTCCCTGGGTGTGGCTATCAGAAAGTGCTGGACACTGGGGGTATGAAAGCTGCGGAGATCCCTGATCCTGGCAGCCATCCTAGGGGGCAAAGGGGTCATGATTCCACAGGACAGGGAGGGGGAGCCAAGAGAGCCTTTCCTGTTTCATCAGGTGTATAGCCATCCAAGGGGCCCCCCCGGGGGTCATGGCTCCTCAGGGCAGAGAGAAGAGAGCGCCCCCCCCCCCAGTGTACTTTAGTTCCCTGCTGGGCTTGTGGGAGCCTGAAGATACCAGTTTGGGGTTTTGTGTTTTTTTCATCTTTTTTTTTTCCAATCTGCCAGGTGACAGGAGATCCCGGGGCTGTGCTGTGGCTGGAGGAGATCCGCCAGGGAGTGGCCAGAGCCAATGAGGACACAAACACAGCCCAGAGAAGTAAACAACCAGGCACTGGGAAGGCAGAGTGGGGCCCCACCCCGTCTCACATTAGCCATGGGAAGCATCTTCGCTTGACCGAGAGTAACTTGGGGAGGAAGGGGTTTATTCTTAGTCCTCCACATCCCAGTTCATCATCGGAGGAAGTCAGGGCAGGAATTCAAAATAGAAACCTAGAGGCAGAAACCAAAGCAGAGGGCATGGGGGGCGCTGCTTGCTGGCCTGCTCCTCGTGGCTTATTCAGTTTGTTTTCTTATACACGCAAGACCACCTGTCCACAGGTAACACATCCACAGTGGGTTTCCACATCGATCATTAATCAGGAAGATATACCACAGGCCAATCCAGTGGGGGCATTTTCTGTTAAGATCCCTTCATCCCAGATATGTCTAGATTCCTGGCAAGTAGACTGAAACCATCAAGCTGAGAGGGCAGGACAGAACTCGTGCAGGAGGGTGCTTTGACCACAGGGTGGATTTCCTGGCACACAACTGGATAGGAAATGCCAAGAGTTTAGGACTTCCATCCCACAGGAGCCCTTCCCTAACGGCCACCTTGTCTCTAACGTGCAGTCTCCTGAATCCAGCCCCACTGGACAGGACAGGGCTCGTGGGAGGGACTCCAGAGGATTGACTTTTCTCTCCTGATGCCCATCAGTAGCCCTTGGTGTGGCTGCCATCAATCAGGCCATCAAGGAGGGCAAGGCAGCCCAGACGGAGCGAGTGTTGAGGAACCCCAATGTGGCTCTCCGAGGGATCGTTCCTGACTGTGCTGACAGCTACCAGCAGGCCCTGGAAGGAGCAGTGTCAAAGAAGCGACGTCCTGGTAGTGGCCCTGGCCGAGGCTTCTCTGCTGCTTTTCCTCCTCTGAGCCCTCCTGGCTTACTTGAGTTTCTGTTCAGGGGACACAGCCTTCTGGGTTCGACACGACATGAAGGACGGCAGTGCCTACTACTTCCATCTTCAGACCTTCCAGGGGACCTGGGAGCATCCTCCCAGATGCCACCTCAACACCTCCCATCTAACCTGGGAGGAGATTCAGGTAGGCAGAGTTCCTGCCTTGGTGGGGGATTGTGCATGGGGAGAGGCTCCTACCCACCCAAAGCCTTCTGTCTCTACAGTCAGTCATCACCAAGGTCTCCGCGGCCCATGACCGCCAACTGCTCTGGAAGGCCAATGTTGGCTTTGTCATCCAACTTCAGGCTCGCCTCCGCGGCTTCCTTGTCCGACAGAAGTTTGCTGAGTGTTCCCACTTCCTCAGGACCTTGCTTCCAGCCATCATTAAGATTCAGGTGGCAGCTTTGGCTTTTCCCCGTGCCTGAGAAGATTGGAGATACAGGGTGTCCACCCCCTTCCCTTTCCCTGGGTGGGGTTGGGATGATTCTTGGAACTCTGAGCAATAGTGAAGGAAGGTGTGGACTCTTGAGACAGACTAGTGTGGTTAGAAGCCCAACTCCGGGACCTGTTAGCCATGTAGCCTTTTAATTACGCTTTTCTTCCTTTCTTTCTTTCTTTCTTTCTTTCTTTCTTTCTTTCTTTCTTTCTTCCTTCCTTCCTTTCTTTCTTTCTTCCTTTCTTTCTGTGCCTCAGTTTACCCCCCCACCAATGCAAATGTCAGTACCACTTTCCAAGGTAGCAAGGGCGGTTTAGTAAGACAATGTCTAGAGAGGTTTTGCAGAATGGGAGCAGGAAGTAAGTACCGGTTATTGGCATCATCGTCAGCATTGGGGAAGAGAGGAAGACTGAAGTGAGATGCAAACACTTTCCCTGGAGCAGAGCTGTGGTAGCTGCTGTGTTGTCCTCTCTAGTGGGCATTCCATTCAGTTCTGTCCTATGCATGGCCTGTGGTGTCTCTGAGGCTGACCTGCAAGTGACCAGGGCAGGACACTAGCACTCCATGAGCTAGAAACAAGGGCGACTTCCCTTGTCAGGTGTGGTGTGGAGAGCCATGGGGTGCTGGCAGTGTAACCCCCTCTGCAGACTTTACCTTCAGAGCCCGCCCCAGTGTGCCGGGCAAGGCTGGGAGATGGGTGTGGAACCCACAAGTGAATGGCCATGGAGTTTGGCTGGCATCAGATGTGACAGGAGGGACACAAAGGGAGAACCGTGAAGCTGGACTGGCAGATGGCTAAGCATGCAGGAGTAACTGACGGCACAGGCTCTGGAGTTGGCCTTCTGGTTAACTGCCCTCTGGTTAAGGCCCGGGCACCCTACTCAAGCCCTTGCACCGTTCTTTGCCTTCATAGAGACACTTGGTTAATGCCTTGGATGTGAGGCGTTAGCAGGAAATTGCTTTCGTCACTAGGTATGGTGGGGTCCCTTGGTGACACCCCATTAGATGCTGGTGTCAACATTGACCCCATAATTCAGTAATGGAGTGCCCAGGTCACAGACTCCTCTGATTGCAGCCCAGTGCCTCGGCTTTGGGAAGTGAGGCAGCCTAGACGCCCTGAGACTCAGCTTGCTCTTGAAAGCTCTGACCATCACAGTTCTCAACGCTGACTAATCCAGATTGGAGTCATGTTTTGGTTGTGTTTTATTTTACATTTATATGTTTAGTGTGTGTGAGCATGCACGCTCGCACATGCACGCTCGCACATGCACACGCACACGTCATGACATACGCTGAGGTCAGAGAACAAGTTACAGGAGTTGGTTCTCTCTTTCCACCATGTGGATCCTGGGGACTGAACTCTGGATGTCAGGTCTAACTACAAGCACCTTTTCCTACTAAGTCATCTTACCAACTCGGGAAGCATGTTTTTAGAGAAGAATTTTGTCAGGGCTGGCAGTGTGGGAACATGGTTCATTCTCTAGTGAGCAGGGGCTGGGGACATGGTTCATTCTCTAGTGAGCGGGGGCTGGGGGCATGGTGTATTCTCTGGTAAAGCTGGTGTCCATGCCTTTTATTTGAGTTTCTATGAGGAAGTATCAGGGTACATAGTCTTTCTCATAAAGCTGGCAGGTCTTTGAGAATAGGGCCAATTTCTCTTCCCCACACTTTCTCTCTTAGTTGCTGTTCTATTGCTGTGAAGAGATACCATGACTAGGGAAACTTAGAAAAGCATTTGGCAGGGGCTAGAGAGATGGCTCAGAGGTTAAGAGCACTGGCTGCTCTTCCTAGAGGACCTGAGTTCAAGTCCCAGCAACCACATGGTGACTCACAACCATCTGTAATGAGATCCGGTGTCCTCTTCTGGAATGCCAGCAGAACAGTGTGTACTAAATAAATAAATAAGAAAAAGAAAAAAGAAAAGCATTAAGCTAGGGGCTTGCTTACAGTTCAGAAGGTTAATCTGTGATCATCAGGCCAGAAGCATGGCGGCAGGCAGGCAGGTGAGCAGGCGGGCAGGTGGGCTTTGAACTTATATCTGATTGATAAGGCAAGGTGGAAAGAGTGAGACCAGACCTAGTGTGAGGTTTTTAAAACCGCAAAAGGCACACCTCCAACAAGAACACACCTCTAAACAGTCCATCAGCTGGGAACCGAACATTCAGAGATTTGAGCCTATGGGAGATATTCTCATTCAAACCACCACAGCATCTTAGCCCAGGGTGAAGCTGTCCCCCTGGCCTCTTGAGCCCAGGGAGGTTTGCTAGGGTTCCCTCTTCTGCTTGGCAGGCTCATTGGCGGGGTTATAGACAACGAAAGACTTACCAGGAGCGGCTGCAATATTTTAAAGCCAACATGGATGCTATCATCAAGGTAACTATGGTGGTCTGGGTGGCTCCTTCCTCTTGAGCAACCCTCAGAGCACTTCTCATTCTCTTGCCTCCTCGTGGCCCTGGAGCCGATTGCATTAGCTGGGGTCTGAGCGTGGGTCTCAGACTGACACTCTGAAGGTAGTGTCTTTTCTCTCAGATCCAGGCCTGGGCGCGAATGTGGGCAGCCCGGAGGCAGTACCTCAGGCGTCTGCGACACTTCCAGAAGAATGTGAGTGTTGCCCCATCATACCTGCCTTTACTCTTAGATGAGAGCCCAGGGAGCAGAAGGGCGGTCAGTCACCTGTTCTCTTGTGCCCGTGGCAGGTTGACTCCATCGTGAAGATCCAAGCATTTTTCCGAGCCAGGAAGGTCCGTGATGACTACAGGATGTTAGGTATGCTGGGGAGATAGAGATCGAGAGCCAGACAAGCCTAGGTGTCCCTCTTGGGGATGCACAGCAGGCAAGGGCATCACAAGTTGTCTGAGGTGTGTAGCGTTCCCTCCTTCCAGTACCAGGCAAGACTCCTCTACCAGGTACTTTTTGAGCAGGCCTAACATATCCATCCCCCTGTGGTAGGCACTTCCCAGCTCCCAGCTGTGCCATTTTCCTTGGTCCAAACTCTCACCTCCTGGCCTCTAGTATAGACACACAGGCCTCGTAATTTTTCTGCTGGGGAAAGAACAAAGAAGTAGAGGATCACTAGTTTCCTGCCCTCTGCTTTTCATAGTTGGGCACACATGTAAAGTCTTAAGGAGGTGTGTATGTGCACACATACATGTACATATGTGTATGTATGTGCACACATGCTTGTATGCATGCGTATACACACACACACATGGAAACCAGAGATTAATGTCAGGTATCTTTCTCTATTGCTCTCTACTTTATTTTCTGAGACAGGGTCTCACTGAACCTGGAGCGTACTGATTGACTGGGCCTGATGGCCAGAAAGCCCCCAGAATCCTCCTGTCTCCACCTCCCAGACTGAGATTACAGGCATGTGCCTTCATGCCTGGCTTTTCCCATGATGCAGGTCCTTCTGTGTGTGCAGCAAGAACTTTCCAGTACAGTTCTGTTTCCAGCCTCGTCCTTGTCCTGCAAGTCCAGACTCTCAGCCTTGCTTGGGAATTAGCGCATTGGTCCATCTCGAGTTCATTCTTGATTCCTGGAGCAGGAAGCCATTTCCTTTCTGTGCTTCTCATGACACAGTCCTCCTCCTTCTGGCCGTCAGCATGGGTGCTCTCCCTCACCACCATCTAAATCCTTTGCTGTTACCCTGAGGTCCCTGCTCCGCCTGCCTTTTATCTTTCTTCCTTCCCTCCAGTTCTGGGGAAAATGTTCTCCCAATGCTTCCTCCTTCCTCAGCCCCCAGAACTGGCCACTTACTTAGCTTGGTGGCTTCTGTGTTGAGGATTCCTTCCTATCAGAGATGCCGTCACTCGTCGTCATTTCTGCAATCATTTCAATCTACTAACCCTGAGTGTGAGTCAATTCCATTGGCTGATCTCGGTGTCCATGAGGTTGCAGTCATCCTCCTCGGTGCTGACTGGACTAGATTGTCCTGACCATGGCTCCATGGAGCTGAGCAGTTCTGCTTCTTGTCACTCTTTTGCTAATCTCTGTGGTTCCTATTGCCTGAGGTCCAGCCATCGCACTCCTCCCCTTGTTTCCCTGTACCTCCCATACCTTGTCTTAGATTCCTATGGCTATCATAAACACCATCACCAAGGCAGCTTGGGAGGAAAGGGCTTATCTCAACTTACTCTTCCATGCCACTGGAGGCAGGAACCTGGAGACAGGAACTGAAGCAGACGCCATGGAGGAAAGCTGCTACTGGCTTGCTCCTGACTTGCTCAGCTTGGTTTCCTATATACCCTAGGACCAGAGCACAGCAGATGCTTCCACATCAGTCATTAATCAAGAAAACACCCACAGAGGCATTTTCTCAGTTGAGGCTCCTTCTCAGGTGACTCTGGCTTGTGTCAGATTTACACAAAGCAAACTTGCCATCCTGTGCGGTACTCCGGGCACACTGCCTTTTCGGCTTCCCTGGCCTCTGCTGCTGCCCTTTCCACTTCCCCACCAGAAAGCAGGTGGCCCACACAATATGGTCGTTTCTTTGCCCTCCTGTAGGAGTGGGGTCCACGTCTGTTTCCCAAGACCCTCCCGCTTGCCCCCTCAAAGCATCGGCCATGGCCATGCAGTACTTAACAGCGGCCATCTGCCCAGATACCTTATGAGATTCCCTCTAGCCACGGGGCCTGGACTCATTCAGCCTCCAGATCTGACTGTTTCATTCATTACCAGCTGGGTAACCTAGAACAAGTTACCTGCCCTCTCCCTGCCTTTGGAGGCTCAGCCATAAGATGGACATAGCATTTAGATTTGGAGCTGGAGAAGTGGCTTAATGATTAAGAGAACTGGCTGCCCTTCAAGAGAACCCACAACTGTCTGTCCCAAGGGACCTGATGCCTTCTTCTGGCCTCTGTATAGTGCACAGACACACATGCAGGCAAAACACCCATACACTAAAATTTAATGAAAATAAAACAGAAAGACTCAGGCCTGGTGGCCCCTGCCTGTAAGTCAACACTTGGGAAGCAGAGAGGAGAATCCTGAGTTTGGGGCTAGCTGGGACTGCTAGCAATACTGCCTGAGCAGAGCCAAACCAGCAAAAGGCCATGAGACACCCTGCCTCTCTCAGTGAGCATTCTGTGTATTCTTTTGTTTCTGTGAAGCTTAGTCCAGAGGCTTCTTTGAGGGTTTTGTTTATTTGGTGAGTTTGTTTTGTTGGGGTTTTTTTGAGACAGGGTTTCTCTGTAGCTTTGGAGCCTATCCTGGAACTAGCTCTTGTAGACCAGGCTGGCCTCAAACTCACAGAGATCTGCCTGCCTCTTCCTCCCAAGTGCTGGGATTAAAGGCTTTGTACCACCACCGCCCGGCTGTTTTTGTTTTTTTCTGACCTCTCCATTATAAAGTTGACCTCCTTAGCTACCTGTACCCCAGTGTAACTACAGACACTCCACACATGACGCTGGCAGGGCTAAGTGGTGGCTGACAGGTCAGGGGCATGAGGAAGCTGGTCTGCCCAGCAGGAAGGGGAGCAGCTGGGTGACGCAGAACCCAAGTCAAATAATCCCAAGCTAACTTGGAGTATTCTTAGAGTATTCTAAGGTTTTCTTTATTAAGGGGGAACTCACAGATCACAGCGAGGAAATTAGAGATGGGGTCTGACATCCAGGTGTGGCTTGCGAGGAGAAGAGAGAGGGAGCTGGGCAGGACTGCAGCTTTTTGGTCCCCTCAGTCACGCTCCAACCTGGTCCAGCCTCTTAAAGGCCATTGGCTGAAGGAGGTTTTCCATCACCTCCCCCTTTTATCTAAATAAGAGAGTTCCAAACCCAATACAACACTATATACAATAAGAACAGATACCAAGTATAAAAATTAGAATTACAACCAGCATAAACAATATTAAGCAAGGAGCATAAGCTAAATGTTTTAATAATCATTTTATCCTAAGGAGTCTAAGTCTTGTATTAGAAATGGCTTGGCTAGATCATAAGATGAAGGTAACTACAACCATCTAATCTTCAACTCCATCAAAGGCCTGAGAAGGGAGACAATATTACTTGAGTAGGCAGGAAGTGCAATCAAGCAGCTTCCAAAATGTGCAGTAGATGACAGAGACCACTGGCTACCTGGACAATCACGCAGTCTCATTTACAATGTTGAAGCAACTTTGGCTAAGGCCTCAAACAAGGGTGCCTTCGGGGAGCATCACAAAACACTGGGGCCTGGTTTGGTGGGGAAGTCACTGGAGAGGCCCATGTGTGTGGTGCATGAGGGCAGAGAGCAGCTGCTCACTCCTAGGTGTGGGGCAAGAGCCCAGGGTAGACATGGGGCAGCTGCTGCCCATGAGGCTTTGCGATGCCTGCCTGACCCACGTCGCCCATCTTGCCAGTGCACACACGCCACCCGCCCCTCTCTGTGGTACGCAAGTTCGCTCACCTCTTGAACCAGAGTCAGGAGGACTTCTCAGCGGAGGCGGAGCTGCTGAAGCTCCAGGAAGAAGTGGTCAGGAAGATACGGTCTAATCAGCAGCTGGAGCAGGACCTCAACCTCATGGACATCAAGATTGGTCTGCTAGTCAAGAACCGGATCACCCTGCAGGTGAGCGGGCCCTGGGTCACCCCTCCCCCAGTCCAGCTGTTCCCGAAGGGAATCCTTACCGTTCTTCAACTAGTAATTTAGTCCTTTCCGAATGTGTGCAGGTTAGCACCTGGCCTGTGCCAGTGTCCTCTGCCCTTGAGGTCTGCCCTTGGGCGTGTGTGGTACAGAGCCCCATGGGTACGGTGGGAGTGGCTGACTGCTGACTTCTGGTGCATGGGCTGTAGGTGATCCGCTAACCTGGAAGTCTGTTTCCTCTTTAGCTCTCTGGAATCAGGAGTTGCTATGTCCCCTGGCAGAACTCAGAGACAGATATGAAAACTCTATAAATTACAGATGAGGAGTAGCAGGTTGATGCTGCTGCTGTGGTGTCTCCACCCCAAGACCCATACATTAGTCAGAAAGAATGGTAGCAAAAGCACAGGCAGACGCGGCCCCTCTGCCTGGCAGCCCCGAGCCCTCTGAAGACTCCCCTGTGAAAGCAGAGGTGCCAGGAGCAGTTGTGGGGCTTTCTCCTCCCACGAGTCCTGGTTCTTCCAGACACTGAGCCTGCACCGCATGTGTTCATGGTTGGTACCAGTCCAGACTGTTGGGTTTGCCCCTACCCCCACATCCAGGACGTAGTCTCCCACTGCAAGAAGCTGACAAAGAAGAATAAGGAGCAGCTGTCAGACATGATGATCCTGGACAAACAGAAGGGATTAAAGTCGTTGAGCAGAGAGAAGCGGCAGAAGCTGGAAGCCTACCAGCACCTCTTCTACTTGCTGCAGGTGAGCGGGACTCTCCGAGGAGAAGCCTTGCGTAGGTGCAGCGCGGTGGTAGAGCACGTCCCTTGCACGCATAACACTGAAAAAAACAAAACAATTTAAAAGCCAAAAAGTCTCCATCACCTTCTGAGCTTGTTCTCTTTGCTTTCTCCATGGCCTGCCTACTGCCCTGATGCCGGAGACAGAGCCTAGCTCTTCCCATTTGTATGGAATATTGCCAGTGCCCTAAGAAGGCGATACTTTCTCCACATCAGGACAAACCTTTGTAACCCATCTGACCGTCAAATCCCCAAGAGCATCTCCTCTGCCTCCCGTTGTTCACAGACTCAGTCCATCTATCCTCTGCCTCCCGTTGTTCACAGACTCAGCCCATGTATTTGGCCAAGCTGATCTTTCAGATGCCGCAGAACAGAACTACCAAGTTCATGGAGGCTGTGGTTTTCAGTCTGTACAGCTATGCTTCCAACCGCCGGGAGGCCTACCTTCTGCTCCAGCTGTTCAAGACTGCACTCCAGGAGGAGGTCAGGTACGTTCTCCTGACGCAGGGGCAGGGGTGGGGATGGAGACGGTGGGTCAGAGACATTCTTCTCTTCAACTCATAGGAAGAATATGAGACAGCGCTGGAGCGGGATGGTGGGGGGATGTGGGCTGACCTAACAGGGTGACCAGACAGCCGGACTCCCTTAGGGAGGGTACAGAGTAGACTTGAACAGGCAAAACTCTGGAAAGGGAAACACAGCTGTGTCCTCAACATATGAGGCCAGTAACCTATTATACCACAGGTCAAAGGTGGAGCAGCCTCAGGATGTGGTAACAGGCAACCCAACAGTGGTGAGGCTGGTGGTGAGGTTCTACCGCAATGGGCGGGGACAGAGCGCTCTGCAGGAGATCCTGGGCAGGGTTGTCAAGGATGTGCTGGAAGACAGGTCAGTCAGCATCCACACAGACCCTGTCCACATCTATAAGAACTGGATCAACCAGATGGAGGCCCAGACTGGGCAGCGCAGGTGAGCCAGCAGGTGGGGGGTTCAGGCTTTGATTGGGTCCCTAGGCAGATCTGTAGGGAAGCCTGCATGTGTTTGAAGGTGACATACAAAGGACTTAAAGCAGAGATGACACAGGCCTACAGAAGATTTAAGCCCTGGCTTTCTCTGTTCCCCAAGCTGTCGAGGATGATTTGCTAGTAGAACCTTGGTATCTGCTTTTGAGTCTGACATTTCCCCTGCTCTTTCCAGCTGCTCTGTGACTCCTGAGTCCTCTCTCTTGTGTGTATCCTCACTGCTGCAGTCCTCCTCCTGCCCCCTCCCCCTCCTCCCCCTGTGTATCCTCACTGCTGCAGTCCTCCTCCTCCTCCGCTCTTCCTCCTCCCCCTCCTCCCCTGTGTATCCTCACTGCTGCAGTTCTCCTCCTCCTGCCTCCTCCCCCGTGTATCCTCACTGCTGCAGTCCTCCTCCTGCCCCC